GCGTCTGTCAATATCGCAAGACTGTTTGCTTTGATACCTCCGACAACTTCAACAGTCATAAAGATGACACAAAGCACAACAGCAATCCAAAGTTTTCTCATCGATGCTGCACGCTCTTGTGCATCCTTAGAACTCGTTTTAGCATCCGAAAATCCACAAGGCGCTCCCCCACAAACTTTACTTCCGGGAGAACTCTTATTTGGCACCGGAGCATCACCTACCTCAATAAGAAGTTCACGCTCCAAAGATTGTGTGTCCATCTGAACTTGGAGTACACAAAATCATTATCAACAATGGTAGCTAAATCTCGCAATGATTAAAGCACTATAAGAAACTTGTATACCTCTAAATAACTAAACAAGCAGAAACATACTTTCATCAAACATCGAGTTTGGAGTTCCATTGAAATACATATCAAATAGCATGTAAAGCATAAAGGTGCAATAATTTAATTATAATAAACTATAATTTATCAAAAAGAGGAAGGCGAAATGAAAAAGTGCAGCACAAAATGTGGAGTAATTTATTAAGAAAATCAGCGAGTCAAAATTACCAAACAGAAGTTTGAGGGTCAAAGTTTCAAAAGTAATATTCGCAGCTGACAATCTTGAAGAAGCCTACAGAACAGAATTACAGATGACACATTGACACACCCAAGTACCCAGACACTAGTTAATGAAAATTGTTAAACTAGCTAGGACTTTGGCACTGCCAAACAATACACACACACTTTTGAGTCTCATCACTAAGGTAGAAGAAACAACATTATCTCACAAATCGTCAAATTCTCTCAGACATGTTGTAACAAGACATGAAGTACTAGACGAAGGAAAAAACTGAATGCACAATGGATGAGAGTAATGTTTTTTTTTTCGGTTAGACCATGAGGTGTCCTGAACAGGCCCTAATTGTAGGAGGCACTTTTAAGCTCGTACCATACTCAGACTAATCCACATTCACACCGGACCGGCCCAATTAAGGGGTAAAGTGCTGGCCATATTGGGTTTTCCATAGAGAGTAATGTTACATTCCCTTTGTTCTCCTATCAAAACGAAGCCCCACCGAGTTCATCTAGGTCACTTTAAAATCTAAGAATTATAAAGTGCATTAAAGTATACTCCATAACCTCATTAAAGTTGAATTGTTTAGCAATAATTGCAAAAAATCTAATCATTGAATTAGAACAAATAGCCCAAGTAGGATTAATCTAGCTCTATCATAGTATCATACTACATAATTGAATTGAATTGATATGGTACCATCTGAAAGGCACCAACAACTTTTGAGCACAATACATGTGACTTCAGTGTTGTTAGCAGGTAAAACTAAGAATCAACCATTTCATCATGTCAACCAATTAAAATACCACCCTACATATTACTAAATCAAATCCAAGTTCTTTTCTTCAAAAACTGAAATAACAAGACAGTGTAAACAACTTGTGAGACAAAAATTTAATATTTTGGCATGCACCCTGAAACCTAAAAAATTGACAAGGGGCAAGTACTATTCAGCTTTCATCTGTTTTTTTTTCTTGGAGTCCATGGCTTATTCTATACCACTCAACTCCATCCATGCATCAGAAAACAGAGACCAGAATAAAGACACAAGAGAACAACTTGAAAACACATACCTGAAGGCATTTTTCCTAGTTCAGAGATGGTCAGATATTAGTATATTAGTGAGACACACATTTATACTCAACAAAAATTTCTTATTTATATTACGAAACTCAACAAACTCAAACTAAAAGGGTAATTGTGAAACCCAATCACCCAACCAACACACCCTAAAAGGGAACATAAAAGGTGGGAAAAAATAGGCAAGGCCGAAAAAGCAAACACCACCAATCAATTACGTTTGCCTAATCAAGAACAACCCAGACTTAAAATCAGATAACATTATGAACAAATAGAACCCTTGAATCTGTACCTTTTGATTGTAAGTTTTAATCCGAAGAGGCGTAGAAGTGGCAGAACAACCCTTCTTCCCTTCGCCAACTGGAAGAAGAGAGAATAGCAATGGACACGTGAAGGGAGGGAGACGATGGGGAAAGATTCAGCTTTTTGCAATCATACGGTCATACCCTACAGCAAGAAGCCGGAAAGACTGGGATTAAATTAAATCGGCTAGGAATGAATGAGGTTGTTGAAGTTTCCCTTTTCTTCTTCTCCCATATATATAGGGAGACACAAGAGTGAGAATGGATGATAAATTACACCATCATGTCGATAACAAAAATCCAAGATGCATCATGTGATAACAAATAATATGTCCATTTCAAGAAAATAAAGTCTTCCCAAAATATAATTCTTAACTTTCATTTAAATAAAATATATATATATATATATATATATATATATATATATATATATATATATATATATATATATATATTTTATGATCTTCTATCAAATATCTAAAAATTAAATTATTTTATGGAAAATATTTTCTCACCAATCCCCGATTCTCTATTTTTGTCCCCATTCCGGTCTCTATTGGGGCGGAGAATCGCATTCCCCGTTAATTATAGATACAATTAATATTTCTAAGTTTCATCAGCAACAATGTGAGAACAACCTCTCAAATGAGAGGATTCTTTATGCACAATAAGCAAAAGTTTAGCTTCAGCCGTTAATAAGTTAAGACACCATAATTTACCACTTCATAATTCTATTAAGTCTCTACCTTTTTGTCACAATAAATTGAAAGAAAAACAAAATGTTTGGAATGTCCATATGTAGGCCATCTTTGAATATCCAATTAGAATTCAAGGTGATCAAATCGACACGATGATTCACCAGTGGCATCTTTGATATCCAATTAGAATTGAAGGTGATCAAATCGGCAGGATGATTCACCAATGTGCGACTCCATAGTCCATATAATAATTAAGATGATTTAATATTTCACGGATTTTAAAGGTTGAAAAGTTTTATTGTATAAAAATATCATGATTATCCATTTGTTATATCATGAATCAGAAATCATCTTATATTATGGATCTTGGTTTAAAAATTATGTGCCTGCATACTGCAGTTAATATATGATAAATCTTAATCATTTATGTGTCTGTAAATAAATAGAAGTCACATAACATATTAATTACATAGAAACACATAAATTGTTAAATGTATGTACATAATATGTTAACTCATGACACATGAGTAATATGTTTTAAACTATGTGTATAAATAAATTGAAGTCACATAATATGTTAATTGCATGCACATAATATATTAACAACATACCCATAATATGTCAACTACATATTATGTGTTTGCAGTTAACATATTATGTATCTTCAATTTATTTATAGACACATAATATAAAAGTTATTTTAGATTATGATCTACAATGTAAGGTGGACTTTGGTCTATGGTATAATTTGCCCAAGTTAGATTGTCCATAACTTAGCTAAAACCAAGAAGGTCGATACATAACTTCCATAGAGATCGAATTTAGAACCTTGTAGTTACCAAATCAACTATTCGATGAACTTGGCTAAAGGTGCTTTCAACATTTTTTTTTAATATGATAGTTATTATAGCTACCTCCACCTTCTTAATTTTTTTTTTTAAATTGTTTTTTTTTTCCTTTTAAATTTTAAAAATAATAATTAAAATAATTTTTTTATATATAATTTGACATTATGACATTATATTTAAGGAAAACTTGAAAGTAACCTGTACAAAATATTATTTGCACAATTTTTAAATTTTTAATAGTCCAATTGTACACTTTTTTGTTTAATAATTCAATTGCACAATGTATAAAAGTTCAATGGCATATTTGACACTTTTTTCTAATTAATAATGGGGTCAATGTTGGAGCTATAATATCATTCCCACGTGGGAAGGCACCAATTGTTTGTGAAATAAGAATATTTTATTGTGAAGAAGAAATGTGAGAAGATCATTGTGGTGTTACAAGGCCATCTCCATCAGTATTCAATTCAGTGTTGACACTCCACTATCAATAAAGAGGATCCACCTATGCACACTATACTAAATATGCTTTGAGGATAACTTTGGATTTGTGTTCATGGATGTTGGCAAAGATATATATAGTGACTGTATGTGAAGGTGTATTCTTTCCAGACTTTTATGGGTAGGAATATGCCAATTAAGACTTATTATTATTATTATTATTATTATTATTATTATTATTTTGTCTGCTCTTGGATTACAATAAATATTTTGTAAGTCATAAGAAAAGTCAATATAAATAAAGGGTTTCCAAGTGTTGAAAAATAGAAGGAAAGTATATTTCTTCATTTATTGTCCCCAACAGGTTAAATCCTCAACTCTTAAGAGCCCCCACGCCCCTTCCCAACAGAACATCTGGGAGGATGTAAATCATAGTAACTCAGTTGAACACAGACAGAGGCTAGACATTTGCTTACTGCGCACAAAGAGCTCCCCTCACTCGATCTCGAGTCATTGTTCCCAAACTTCACCCATGTAATCAATTGAGCTGCTCATGCGGGCAATGACATTTCTTTTATGCATGTAGTAGCAATGAAATTGTTGAAAAAATTGCTAATATTTTTTTAAATAGTAATAATAAAGCCTATTTTGTGGTAATTACAACATGTTGGAAATTGAAATAGCACACAGTTTCAACATGATTAATACAATAAAGAACTTGTTATTTTTTAAAAAAATCAGAATTAGCATTTGAACCATTGCATATTTGCATTCAAAGAATCCACCGGTCACCGCAACAGACAAACTGGTGCGGAAATACACATTATTCTCCTCTCTATTATTGACAACTTTTTTCCTTTTTTTGGTTCTTTACATGTGTCATGTGAGGAGCCACTCAGAGTTTTTGAAGAGCAAAGCCAATGGCTAGTTTGAAGAATTTGGTGAATTTTTGTCATAAATTTTGTCTAGTTGGAGGAGAAAAAAATATATTTTTTTCCATTCTATACTCCATGGCAAGTTCACAGATTGAAAGCACACCTCATTAAAGCATCAAACCATGTGAACCACATATAGCCAAATCTCTCCCTTTCACATTTATCAGATCATTGCTAACCATCAATCAAATTAAATAAGAACAGTAATAATACAGAATCAGAAAGATGGGGTGGTCCAAGGGAATGATTTGGGTAGCTCTTCTTCTCAACATGCCTTACTTCTCCAAATACTTCTAAATACAAATGGTGGTGGGGAAGGCCAGGGGAAAATTACAGGGAAAACGAAAGAGAGAAGGTTTACAATTCTACTTTCACTTTAGGTTTAAGAATGGGAGGGTCAACGTCGATGCCCATATTAGCTGCAGTGCCGGCTATAATCCTCATTGCTGACTCGATGCTTGTACAGTTAAGGTCTGGCAACTTTTCTTGAGCAATTGCCCGCAACTGATCAACAGTCACCTTCCCCACTTTCTCCATCTGCGGGTCCTTGGATCCTTTCTCCGCTCCTAGAAAATTAATCGAAATCGTTGATTGCAAGAACTGTTAAATCATATCACGAGATACGTCTTCTATTAAAGACAGATAGTGTATTCAGAGCAGCACAAATCTTAAGTGCAATATCTTTGGTCTTTCTTCAGTTCACTATGTTTTTTCTTTTCCTTATTGGGTAATATTTAGAAATATTTATCTCTTTCAAAAACTTAGACCAGGCACCATCTAGTGGTTAGTTCTTTGGTACTCACCGTTTAGTGTTTTAGTTTACAATTCCCTCAAGTTTTTCCCAGAAAGGTATACAAGTGTGTACAAAAATGTAAAAAGAGGACATTTTGCTATTTAAATAATTAAATCCTCCCATGAGGGAAAGCATAGAGCTTTTAATCTCACATTACAAAACAACTAATAGTTTGTAACTAACACTTTGTGTCTAGATCTTTCATTGAAAAGTTTTAGTTAGAAAGTAATGTAGATTCCATAGACGTACATTTTTTAAGAACCCTCTAAATACCCCAAAAAGTTGGTCAAGACATAGGCATGAGAACTGAAGTTTTAGCGCTAAACAATCATCCCTCTAAACAATAGAGGGAGATTGATAGCCCCGAGCCCCCAAATGGGGCGGCCAAGTAGGTGAAGCATGATTCTCATTATCTCATATCTGAAGGTTATGGGTTCGATTCTTGTTAACACTTTCTTGGTTAAGCCCGTTGCACAGGGTCTTCCTAGTGCGGCTTACCTCTCCTGTGTGGTTTGCAAGCTATTACACAAGAGGAAGAGGAGCAGGATTTACCTAGTACACACCCTCGAATAGTGATTGCAGATTTCCCTCATCACCCAAAAAATAGAGGTAGAGTGATAAATTAGTGAAAACATCCCTAAGATTTTCTAATGCCATTATGATCAGTTCAATGATAAATCACATCCCTAAAATTTTCTGCTGCAATTAGAATCAGTTCAAAGATAATACCATCGTACAAGCAAATCCAACTTGAAACTAGTGAAAGAGCAAGCAGAGCAATTGAGAAAAGCATCAGTCAAAGGCCAAAACCTACCTGCTGCCTTAAGTAACAAAACTGAAGCAGGTGGCGTTTTCAAGACAAAAGTGAAGCTTCTATCCTGCAAAAATGTGTGTTAACAATGGCATAACCAGATCAGATAACTAACAATCAAACTTCACAAAAGACATTACACACAAACAGGAAACCACTAAGTTGCAAGTCACACCCAATGCACAAGGTTCCAGATTGAACCCATTAGCTAAAAACATAGACAGAGCACCATAACAACAAACTCAACCTTAAAACTAAAGAATTAAATAATATATAGGCCCTTTTTGGTAAAATAATTAGTCTATCAGCCAATTTTGGCTTGTTTGACCACTATTAGCTGTTTGATTTGGTTAAACGACCACTATGAGTGTCTGATTAATTAGCTTCTTGTAACAACTTATTGCTCCAAAACACAAATTCAAAAGCTTTTTCGATCAGTTATTTGAGAAAGTTATTTTGTATGCAATCACTATCTGCTAAGCTAATTTACCAAACATCTATCAACTAGTTAAACCCAGTATCCCAATCAGCTAACAGCTATTGGCTATTTACCAAACACCCCCATAATCTACATCCTATGGTTGAAAACTGAAGATAAAAACAAAGCAATTGGGAAGCAAAGAACTAACATCATAGACTGTGATTTCAACAGGGATGATATAACCGGGTTTATCAGCAGTCCTGGCATTGTAGTCCTTACAGAAAGCCATAATGTTGACACCCTTAGAACCCAATGCCGGCCCAACAGGTGGAGCCGGCGTCGCCTTCCCTGCCTCCAGAGCCAGCTTTACCACCCCAGTAACTGTACACCCATTTCAACACTAAACGTTAACCCCCCAAACAAGGAGGAGAACACCCAGAACATAGATATGTAAAAATACAACTACTCGCACAACAAGTTGTTACCTTTCTTGGCTTTTCCGGCGGCAGGCTTGGGAGGAGCCATGGCAAAGACAGTGAGAGGCCTGGGTGAGGAAGTAGGAGAAACATGATTATTGCGACTGCGAAGGAATTGCAGAGAGATGCCTGGGTTTGAAGACAAATTGAACGAAGACCGGAAAGATGAGAGCTTTCTCTCATTTCCGCGAACTTGGAGACCCGTTGACGATAAAGAAACAGCCATTCCTGCCGGAACTCGAGACCCACTTCTTCAACACCTTCAAATTTTAGCACGACGGTGAAGTGGATAATACACCACACCCCACACCTCTTCCTATCGATACTGCAATCTGGCATCTCAGAAAGCGACGCCGTTTTAGTGGACGCTGTGTACATGGGCTATTGACTTCAACAAAGCCCAAAACCCGGACTGTATCCAAATTATGCTGTGCAACCGTGTGCACCATGTATGGTGCACAGGGTTGCAAAAGGACACCGTTTTACTATGATGGAGTAACGGTGTCATTAGTGGCACCATTTAACTCCACCAATCAAATAATGTTTTTTTTTTGTACAAAAATTTCAATCGACGTATAATTATGAATATATAGTTATACAAGTCTGAATATATAATTATGAAGTTATGGATATATAGTTATGAAGTTAAGGATATATAGTTTTGAAATTATGGATGTGTAGTTATGTAATTATGGATATAGTTCTCTGTGAATAAGCATTTTAAGAATTTTAAATATGGAGTTATGTAGTTATGAATGTCTAGTTGTGAAATTATGAATATATGGATATGTAATTATAAATGTGTAATTATTTCTAAATGTATTGTTTGTCAAATTATGAATATATAGTTATGTAATTCTGGATATATAGTTATGAAATTCTGGATATATCCTACTGTTTGAATACGAAAGGAAACCGCCTAACGCCGTTAACGACAATCCGAACAGATTTTATTTTTTTAAAATGAAACGACGTCGTTTTGTAACCGTGTGCACCATGCATATGATGCAAATATAGTATATGCATGGTTGCAGTAGGCGCTAGGCGCTAGTCGGGCGGTCGGGCAGCGCCTAGCGCCTAGGCGGATTCTAGGCGGCGCTAGGCGGGCACCAAAAAAATTTTTAAAAAATAGTAACAGACTTGTAGTTCGACAATTTTAATGAGGTTGTTTTCAACGTTCACTCAAATAACACATCTAAATAAATGAAATAATGATAATTTATAAGTCATAATGTCATAATAATATTAAAATCAATAATTAATGAAAGACGACATCGGTCAAAATCGAACAAAATCGGTCAAAATCGAACAAAATCGGTCAAAATCGGTCAAAAACGGTCAAAATCGGACTAAATCAGTCGACTCGACCGAGTTAGCCGAGTTGGCCGAGTTTGGCCGCCCAGGCCGCCTAGCGCCTAGGCGGCCGAGTTTTGCAACCTTGAGTATATGTTAATGTATATTAAACTTTATTTCTGTGAATGTATAGAATGAATTGTATAAGCATACTACAAAGTGAATATATATATATATATATATATATATATATATATATATATATATAAGTTAAACCCCATATAAGTTAGACAAAAGTCCACCATATAAGTTAAATCCCGGTCCACAATATAATTCGGGTGTTTGGTAAATGGATGTTAGCTTATAACTGTTAGTTGATTGGGTTAGTGGGTTTGACTAGTTGATAGCATTAACTGATTGTAGAAAAGTGTTTGGTAAATTATTGTTAGCTGTTAGCTGATTACATACAAAATGATTTTTCAAAAAACTTATAAAAAACAACTTTGAGCAGCTTTTTGAATTTTAGTATTTTGAAACACTAACAGGGTGTTTGGTTGCAGGGATTTTAAATTCAATTCCCACTTAATTCCCACCTAATTCCAAAGGCCATTAAATTCCGTAGTTTGGTTGGAGGAAATTGCAATTCCCCCATTTTCATGGAATTAAAATCCCATGTCCCCCCTGGGATTTTAATTTCTAGGAAAAAAAGATAATGATGAGTCAAAATTACACATTCCTTTTTTAACTTAAAATTAATGTCTAACAACAATAATGGACATTTTTGACTTTATACTATTTATTCCCTTTCAATTCCCATGTATACCAAACATTGGAATTAAAATTTCCAGTAATTCTATTCCTGTCAACCAAACACTGGAATTTAAATTCCCAGTAATTCAACTCTCATGGAATTACAATTTCTTTCCCACATAATTCCTCCCTCCAACCAAACGCCATGTAAGTTGTTACAAAAAGCTAATTAATTAAATATTCATATTAATTGTTTAATCAAGTCAAACAAGTTGTTAAATAAATTAAAATGGACTGGATATGCAAATTTTTTACCAAATAGGGCCAATTTGTGCCCATTTTAGGTAGCGGCTAAACACATGCATCACGAGACGAATTCTCGTGCAAGTTGTATGGCAACCCACATTGATGAGCAACAACAAGTCAACAACTAAGCTTATCTTTTTTCGTGATCTTTTCGTGATTTTTTCGTGATTATGTCCCCTTCTGTTTGCGGATTGCGTTGTACTGACCTAATAAATAAAAGTACTACCATAATCCACAGTACCACTTAGGACACCTTATAATAAAATGAAAAAAAAAATGCAATTTTTGTCCATAAATTATTTTTTGCTAACATTTTAGTCATTAATTTTTTACCGTTGTAATATACACCACTAACTTTTCAAAAATTTGCATTTCTAATCCCTAAAGTAACAAAATTATTAAAATTTTACTTAATACATTGATATTTTAAAATGTTATTGTCTTTGTTCTTTATAACATTATCAGTTTTGATATTTAATCGGCAAAATATAAAATAAACAACTTTCTTTCTTAATTTTTTCCTTTTCAATTGTGGTACATCGTCCCTATTTTCCTACACAACCCTGTTTAAATCATGTTTTTTTTTTTTTTTTTTTTTTTTTTTACAAATGAAATATCAAGACTAAACAATATTATAATTAAAGATAGTAAAAATACTGAAATACACATATAATAAGTAAATTTAATAATTTTGTTACTCCAAGGGTTATAACTACAACTTTTTAAAAAAGTTAAGAATATATATTACAATGGTAAAAAGTTAGGGAATAAAACAACAAACAATAAAGGAACTAAAATTGTATTTTTCTCTAATTAAATTCATTAAAAAATAGAAAATATATGTGTGGATATTTCAATTGATCCATAAAATGGACAAGCTGATTAGACTGGGACGGGGACGTGCAATGAACTACTTCTAGAAGATTAAAAACTCATTCTAGAAGATTAAAAACTCCGGCAATGGACTAGTTTTCAAAAAACAGCTCATTCTAGAAGATTAAAAGACTAAGTTTAATAATTTCCTTTTTTGTTTTTTTTAGGTATATTGATAAAAATTAGGCAAGCAAGAATATTTCAAATTCGCTCAGATCTCTTTGCAGATGGGAGGCAAATCTATTTAATGAAAATCCCTCACTAATAAATTAGATGTAAATATAATTTATCAAAAAATTCATTATATTTTATCCGCTCCACTAATCCGCTATAAATATACTTATGATGACATCCTCATTTTTTTTATCTCCATTTTTGGCATGAATAAATTAAAAATTTTAGGGATGCTTGGTTCATAAAATGTTAAATTACTTTAGAAAATGTTTGTTGAGAATATTAAATTCATATGTTTAGTTTAAAATTGATATATTTAACATAAATTTATTTAGTTGAAAAGTTGTATTTTATGTTATAATGGTTATTTTATTTTAATATTATTAACTTATTTTTATGTATTTTAATACATTTTAAAAATAAAATATATAAATAAGAGATTAATAAAATATAGAAGTAAATAATTTAAAATTAATTAACTAAGATCTTGACCTTGAGAAATATTTTATATTATGAGGGAGTGAAAAACAAATAAATTAAAATGATAACATTAGTAATACAACAGATACGAGAATACCTAACCATATTAGAGATGAGAGTGTATTTCACATTTCCTTCAAATAATTAAAAAATTGTATTTTTTTTTTTTGAATATTACTAGCTCTATTACATTGTAGTATCTGTTTATATACTTTCTTAACCTACTGAAACACAAATAACGAATAACGCCTCCACTAAGGCTCAAACTCACAATCTTCCAAATGAAAGTCCAACCCGAATACCATTAGACCACATAGTCTTAGTAAACTATATAAAAAGATTATGTTACATTTTTGAGTAAATTACATAACTTGAATCAAGCATTATTTCCAAACAAATACAATTTTAGTTATCATATATTACATGAATCAAACACAAAAATTATTTTCAATAAAATATAACTTCGATTATGTTATACGGAGTATAATTTAAATCAAACACCCCCTTAGTGTAATTAATTAGAAGAGCAAATTACACTTTTGGTCCTGTCACTATTAGGGGTGTGTTAATTTGGGTACGTGACTTTTAAAATTAACAATTTAGTCCTTTAACTATCATTTTTTTAGCAGATTTGGTCCTCCTGGCCAAATTGCCGGTGGAATTTGGCCGGAAAGACATTCGAATTTTTAAATCAAATATTAGTGGGGGTAATTCGGTCTTTTTAATTATAAAAAAAATAGCGTTTGATTTAAAAATTCGAACGTCTTTCCGGCCAAATTCCACCTGGAGGACCAAATCTGCTAAAAAAAATGATAGTTAAAGGACTAAATTGTTAGTTTTAAAAGTCACGTACTCAAATTAACACACCCCCAATAGTCTCAGGACCAAAAGTGTAATTTGCTCTTAATTAGAATATAGAGTAAAAAAATAAAAAGTATTGTGTAAAATATATGATCTTATCTATTTTAAAGAAAATTCAATGATAAAATATTACTCCGTAGTTTACAGGAGAAAAGTCAAGGAAAACTCCATAGTCCGATACGGACATCTATCTGACATCCGGCTCCGGCGCCGGAGCCGGCATTTCTAGGCGGAAAGAAGCCAATTTCTTGGGAAGCAGCATGGATCTGCAGACGGGGCAGGTGACCTGACCCTCGTCCACCCAAGTGTCGAGGCAGGGCCGGTGAAACACATGATTACAGGTGACTGGGTCCCTGATCTCGTGATCCAGCTCAATTTCTTCAAGGCAGATGGAGCAGCAGCAGCAGCGGTGCTTTTCCATTTCGGCTTCCCGGCGGAGGTAGTCGCGGAAGAAGACAATGGGCACTTTGCGTTTGACGGCGGCGGTGGCGACGTGGATAGGGATGGGGATGAGAGACGGGGAGGTGCCGTCGAGGAGGAGAATGTAACTGTTGGGGTGGTAGCCGGAGGAATTGTCGTTGTCTTCTTCTGGCGGCGGCTTGTAAAGCCCCAAACCATTGAGGAAGGCTATCACGACAAATTTAAGACTGCTCCAAAATCCAAACAAGAATGCTAGGGTTAAAGCCTTGGGAATTTCGACCATATGAAAGAAGAAACCCATCGTCGGAGGGAACTAACTCCAAATCCTACAACCCTAAATCTCAATTCTCAGACTTACAGAGATACAGAGAGAGAGAGAGAGAGAGAGAAAGTGGAAAGGTGAACCTGTGAGAAACTGAGCGGCGAAGGTGAAGAGAGAGAGAGTGAGAGCGAGAAACTGAGACGGAAAAGGGAAGTGGTGAGGAAAATGGTTTGTTAAGAGTTTCGGGTCAGATTCGGAATTTAACCCACAAACCCGAAACATGCATACAGCTAGTTGACCACGGTTCAGTTGTACACTGTTGGAATCGGAACCGACCGTATGGTTCCGGTTCGAGAAAATCTGGAATCGAAACTGACGGTTCCAGTTCCAAAACTATAAAAAAAAAAAAAAATCAAGCTTCATATTTTAATTATTTCAAAAGCCAAACTGCCAAAGCCCGGACAGTTTGACATCTTAAAAATAAGGAAAGTGTTGGGCTTTGATAATTTATTTACTGTTGATAGTATGGGTCAAAGTGGAGGCCTAGCTCTTTTTTGGAAGAACACTCTAGAAGTTAACGTCTCTGACAGCTCCAACAACTTCATTGACGCCATTGTAAAGATGAGCTCCTCCCCAGCCACCTGGCGTTTTACAGGCTTCTACGGGAATCCAGAAAGACATAGAAGAAAGATCACCTGGGAAATCCTAAAAAATCTATCTCTGGCCTCCTCACTGCCATGGATGTTAATGGGGGACTTCAATGATATCATTGCTCCAGAAGAGAAGATTGGTGGTGTTCGTCATCCGCGGTGGTTAATGCAAGGTTTCATTGAGGCGATCAATTTCAGTGGCTTAAGAGATTACCAGTTCAATGGTTATCAGTTTACATGGGAAAAAGGTAGAGGGTCCTCTCACTGGATTAGGGAAAAGTTAGATCGAATCCTTGTTAACAACGCATGGCTTGACATCTTCGAAGGAGCTAGAGCAGAATCTTTCGAGGTTCTTAATAGCGATCACATTCCCCTTGCAATCTGGCCCTCACCACCTTCAAGAACAAGGAAAAGAAGAAGCTTTAAGTTTGAGAATTACTGGTTGAAGGAAGTGCAGTGCCGTGAAATCGTCCAACAAAGTTGGTCAAATTCGGAAAGCCACGAGCTTTTTTCCAGGTTCGAAATTTGCAGTCACGAAGTCTGGAAATGGGGAAAAGACCTAAACAGTAACATGAAGCCTCAGATTGACAATCTAAAAAGGCGCCTGGAAACTCTTAGGCCAAGAACAGACATCCACAGCATTCAGGAGTTTTCTACAGTACAATCCCAATTCTTAAACCTCTTGAATAGACAGAATCAATTCTGGAAGCAGAGGGCGGAATTATTTTGGCTCAAAGGAGGTGACAACAACACAAGGTTTTTTCACAATGCTGTAAATCAGAGAAGACGGAACAACGAGATCCTTAGATTGCGTGATCAGAATGGCAATTGGGTTTCTCATGGCCCTCAACTAGACTCTCTGGTAAGGGATTATTTTGTGAATATTTTTACTTCTGATGCTGGAGATTGCAACCTTGTTTTGAACTGTATTAATCCTAGTATTACTAGCTCAAATAATAATATGCTGCTTAGAAGATTTACTGCATCCGAGATTAAAAAGGCAGTGTTTGGCATGCACCCTGATAAGAGTCCGGGTTTTGACGGTTTCAATCCCGGATTCTTTCAATCTTACTGGGATATCTTAAGCCAAAGCCTTATTGATTTTTGCAACTCTTTTTTGGATTCCGGGAAGCTACCGAAGGACATAAACATCACACAGATTGTGTTGATACCAAAAAAGCCTGTACCGGAGACTATGGCGGACCTCAGGCCAATTGCTCTATGCTCTGTAGCTTACAAGATCCTTGCTAAAGCGTTGGCCAACAGATTGAAAGTTTTATTGAATAATTTGGTCTCAGTGAATCAAGGTGCCTTTGTTCTTGGCAGACTGATCACCGACAATATAATGATTGCATTTGAGATGCAACATTATATGAAGAGAAAAAGTCAAGGAAAGAATGGTATTGCAGCTCTCAAGTTAGACATCAGCAAGGCTTATGACAGATTAGAATGGTCCCTGCTTCGCAATATTATGTACAAAATGGGTTTCGATGCTAAGTGGATCAACCTAATAATGGAGTGCGTATCCTCGGTTAGCTACTTTGTGCTGAATAAAGGGAAGGAAATAGGTCCAATCATACCTCAGCGGGGATTAAGGCAGGGAGACCCGATCTCTCCGTATTTGTTCATCTTGGTGGCTGAAGGTTTTAGTGCGATGATTAGGGATTATGAGAGCAAAGGCAGAATCCATGGTCTTACGGTGGCAAGGAATGCACCATCTATAAGCCACCTTTTCTTTGCCGATGATAGTTTTATATTTTTTTAAGGCATCAACGGAGGAAGCAAACAATATGAAGCAGCTTATAAATGACTATGAGATGGCATCAGGCCAATGCATAAATTTGACTAAATCCACTTTGGCTTTTAGCAGAAATATCCCTGACTATCAGAGAGACCGGCTTAGTGATATTTTGGGTATCCATCACAGCAGCAGTAGTGGAAACTATTTGGGGCTCCCTATGATTATTGGCAGGAACAGGACAGAAATCCTAAGCTTCATCAAACACCGCATTGTCAATCGCATCCATGGGTGGAATCACAGATTCATCTCTAAAGCAGGGAGAGATATTCTCTTGAAATCTGTTCTCCAAGCACTGCCAACTTATGCCATGGGGGTCTTTCTCTTGCCGAAAGGTCTAATCAATGCTGTTGGAAACCACCATGAATTCTTATTGGTGGAAAGGGGGAGGAAGTGACAGGAGAGGCATTATTTGGAAAAATTGGAAATCCTTGTGCAAGCCTAAGAAATGGGGAGGACTCGGTTTTCGGGACCTTCATAATTTCAATCTAGCTCTCCTAAGCAAACAAGCTTGGAGAATTTTCACTGATCCCAACTCCTTGGTCTCTAAAGTCTACAAAGCAAAATACTATCCTAACTCTTCCTTTCTTGATGCGAAGCTAGGTGCCAATCCTTCTTTTATTTGGAGCAGCTTAATGGTTACACAAGAGATTATTCGCAAACACTCAAGATGGAGGATAGGAAATGGATCGTCTACTTGCATTTGGGGAGATAATTGGCTGCCGGATAACAACAACCCAAAGATTCAATCGTTTCCCTACCCGCTCATGGAGAATTCCAAGGTGGAAGATCTTATTGATCCCAATACTCATGACTGGGATGAATCCACCATCCGGAATATTTTCACATCCAGAGATGCGGACTTGATTATGAGGATACCCCTATCTAGTCAACACATGCAGGACAAAATTATTTGGGGCCCTGAAGATAACGGCAGATTCTCGATCAAAAGTTGTTATAAATATATTGGTGGAGAGCTAATCATGGAGGATACAAAGAAATGGAGTAGGCTATGGCAGTGTAGAATTCCTCCAAAAGTCAAAACTTTCCTATGGCAAGCGTGCAACTCCTGTCTTCCCACCAAGGACAATCTAAGAAAGAAGCACATTGACTGCAATGCAAATTGTAGTCTATGCAGAAACGGAACTGAGTCAACTTTGCACCTTCTTGCCGATTGTGACTACGCCAAGTCTTGTTGGAATTATCTTCAGTTCTATACTCTTCAATCTGATGCAGATAATTTCCAATCGTGGCTGAGTAACGCACTGGATATCCTATCTGATGAACAGTTCTGCACACTCTCCATGGTTTGCTGGAGTCTTTGGAACTTAAGAAACAACATTGTGTGGCAGAACAAGCCCTTAGAGCCGATGAGCAATTTGATTTTTAGGACGAGGACGTACTACTCAGCCTGGAAAGCAGCGACTACGGATATTCACATCGCTCGGAACACAGCAGCACCTAATGATCACTGGAGCAAACCACGGCAAGGCTACTTGAAGCTAAATGTTGATGCAGCCATTAATGTTGAGGGTGGCGGCATGGGCTTTGGTTGTATCCTGAGAAACGATCAAGGGCTCTTCGTTGCAGCTAGGGGAGGTCACTGGAGAGGCACTTTTACACCTAAAGAGGCAGAAGCAATGGCCATTCGAGAATCTCTATCATGGCTCAAATCTTTTACAGGTGGCAATATTATCATCGAGACCGACTCCCAACAAGTTGTCCAGAGCTACATAGCAGGGAATGGAGAGTCATCCTTTCATTTGATTCTTGATGATATCAAAAACTTAATGAGTCTGTTTACTCATGCTAGTTTAATCTTTACTAAGCGATCTGCGAATCAGGCAGCCCATCTGTTAGCTAGGCAGTCTGCTTCTACGTCTGGTTGCTCAGAGTGGTTCACGAACCCTCCCTCTATCATTTGTAATACCCTTTATTTGGATTTGAATTAATGCATGCGTTATTTGGTTTTCAAAAAATAAAAAATAAAACGGCCAGTAGGCCACTGGCCTAGTGGCTTACTAGCCATTTTATTTTTTTGAACCAAAAATATAAAATGGTCATTTTATTTTTTTGAACCAAAAATATAAAATGGTCAGTAGGCCACTAGGCCAGTGGCCTACTGGCCACTTTCGCCATTTGGCCTGGCGCAAAGGCCAGGCTCCTGCTTCCATGGCCTTTGCGCAAGGCTTTGTTGGCGTACAACAGCCAACAAACATAATATACAATATTTTTTATTGAAAGTATGACCTTTTTTTAGAGTGGGTGAGTATTGCAAGGATATAAAAAAAAAATAGTAAAGAAAATTACAAATTTGATGATGTGAAAGTGAAGTCCACTTTTAAAAGTGAGAAAATATTACAAGGATAAGAATAGCCTTGACGAATTTTTGTAAGTGTGATTAAAAAAGAGAAATGAGTGAAGAGGGAAAAAAGAAAAAAAAATAAATAACAAAATCAAAAACTGAAAAAAGTAATAATAAAAATACATTTACACGCCCAGGCGGGTGCGAGAGTTGCGCCTCACACGTGTGACCCACTATCTCTGCAAAATCCCCATGCACACTCCCCTCTTCTCTCTCTTCATTCTCTTTTTTCCAAATCATCTATTTTTTCTTAAAATTTGTGCACAACCCCCTTAATGGGGATGTCCTAAGAGCATCCACACTTGTGCATATTATGGGGAGATTTCAGAATGAATTCTTCTCAATGGGGAGCAAAGCTAATGTAGGGGAGAATTTATTGAAGAAGAATTCATCTGCAAGAGAGAAAATATTGCGAAAACCAAGAAAAAAGAATTTATTGAAGAAGAATTCATCTGCAAGAGAGAAAATATTGCGAAAACCAAGAAAAAAGAAAAAAAAAAGTATCTAACTTGCTGTGCACGTTTAGTGCACAACAAGTCCACAGTCCGGCGCGTGCACGGCGCGTCAGGCGCGCCGAACGACGCACCTGACACTTCTATTTTTTATTTTTTTTTGTTTTAATTTTTCTAATTTTGATTTTTTTGTTTTTTTTTCCTCCCCTTCTCACATTCTCTCTCCTAATCATTCTTACATTGTTTCCACATTTTTTCCTCCCCTTCTCTCCGCCGCCTGGGGCAGTAGTATGTAGCTCAGTAATATTGTATGTAGTCAAATATCAATTTTTTTTTTTAATTTTTTGAGATAAGTAAAATGTCAATTTTAACCCGGTTAAAAATAGATAATTTTTTTTTCCGGTGAAATTTTGACGGAAAAATGGCCGGAAGGACCATTTTTGCAAAAAAATCAATAGTCGTGGACTAAAATTGCAAGGTTCAAAAGTCGTGGATCAATTCTGCCAGTGCCACTATAGTCGTGGGACTAAAAGTGCAAAAAACTCGATGCTCTAAGGCAACAAGAACTAATGAGGTGTTTGGTAAGATGAAATTGTAATTTCATTCTTACCAAACTCTATGGAATTATAATTCCATGGTTTGTTGGAAGAAATTGAAATTCTCTAAAACCCTGAAATTGTAATTTCATCCTTCTTATTATTATATTATTATTACAATACAAAAATATTTTAGTCTTTATTCCCTTCTTCTCTCTCAATTCCCAATCATTTTATTATTGTCTACTAAATAATGTAATTAAACAATTCTGGTTGTGCTAGCTATTTACTACATCAACCGACAAAACAAACCACATACGAAAGAGAATGGTCTTTTAAGGATTCCATACCTGGCTTGGCTGATTCTACAAAGACAAAGACAAATGTTCATCCAAGTTATTTCTGCTTTTTGAAAGAATGCAGCAGCAGAATCCTTAGAATGAATGAATGAATGTGTTATGTGTAGGATGAGCTACTTAGCTTCAGTTTTCTGGAAAAACTGCAGTGGCGGGGATGGCTATATTGAATCATCGGACTCTTCAGACTCACTTCTCTCGGGTTCCCCCCCACCGGTTGCCCCAGCCTCAGCCTCCACCTCAGCCTCGGGAACATTAGGCTTGGGTGGTGCTGCTGCTTTCTTACTAGCAGCATTTCGTGCATTTTCTTCACCATCTTCCTCTTGTTCACCCACTTCCGCATCTAATCACAGAATCAAGGGCCAACAAATAACAACATGAAGGTTTTGTGAATTTGTATTCAGAACGACACCATTTCATAAAGCTAAGTGTGAAAAGTTATTTGAATTTTAAAGCCAAAGAGAAGATGGAGGCTATAATAGAAGCAGCTTTGAGTGGATGTGATGATATAAAGCAAACCACTTTGAAGGATATCTATATTCTCTGCAGTTCCACCAGCCATGATGTTCTGCAAAGTCTTCTCAACACGCTTCACAAGCTCAGGCTTCAAAAATCAAAATACAATGCAAATCAATAAAAACATGCATTCAATTTAATAGCCTTCACTCATCTTAAATAATATCACTATCAAACTGAGAAAGAAGCTAAATTATAAGCTCCAAGTCTTCAAGAATTTTGCACACACACCTCACCATTGTTTCTTTCTTTACGCCCCAAGGGAGAGTTCATTTTAAAAGTGCTTGCTTTCCAAAAGGAAGGAATAATGTGACTAATATTTTTACCTATCAAAATAATAATAATAATAATAATGTCACTTACATTTAGATCTAGTTCCCTACGAAACCTTCGCCTCCGAGCATCTCTCATTGGAGGAGTGAGGCCATGTCTATACTCCACTGCATCAGGAGCAGGATCACCTTCTTCCCCCACCATAATCATCTGTCAAGATAAGTTTGAAACACGAGCAATAAAGCAATACCCTACAATTGTATTCAGACAATGAGAAGAAAAGAGGGGTGGGTAAGAGGGTTTTGGATACCTGACCAATATCTGCAGTTTTAATCAGCACACTATCATCATAAGTTTTGTAAGACTCCACTGTGCAAGGAAGATCCAAGAGGGCGGCAGGGAAGTGCTCATTTCCTATGACAAATGTGCCAGTCCTACCATCCTCTAGAAAACAAATTAACTTTTAACAAATCACGAACAAAAATAAATATTGAACATATATGGCATATTGCATTGGATAAGTAACATTTATCTAGAACCATAACTTAAAGTAGACACTATATTCCTTACAACAAAATGTCATATTGTTCTGTTCTAATTCAAGGATAGCTCTCTGCAGACTAGCATCTAGGCATCTAGCAGCTACCATGAAAACTTGTAGTGCTGTTTACATGAATCAATTGACAAAAATTGTTAAAATGCATACATCTAATTTGGGTCAAAAATTCAAAAACTATTACAATGATACCATGACTTTGAGAGTAGAGAAGTTGGAAACTTCAAAAATCATACCAGAAAATGACAAATCCAATCTTTTGTCTTCTGAAGAAGAAGCATTCTCACTCAGAAGGCGGTCAATTTGCTCAGCCACAGAAGGGGGTACCCTGAGTATGAATTGCTCCTCCATGCCTATACATAAGTCAGCATGGACGTATTAACTTAATACTAATGTTTAATTCATTTAGATGTGTTGCTAAATAGTATATAGCCTTGAAATTAAAGCAAAGACATGACAAAGGTAATCCACCGTGATCAACACTGAAACAAGAAACAAGATTGCATATTTATTTTAAAACAACAACAACAACAACAACAACAAAAAACAAAAAAACAAAAAAAAAACAAAAAACAAAAAAAAAAAAACAAAAACCTCAATCATCAACAATGAATTCTGATTGAAACTTAGACAGTGATTATTATAAAACTAAATTTATTTAGACAATCATCAAAAAGATTGCATAAGACCTAAACAATTACTCCATATATGTTTTGAAACACTGATAACATTATCATATTTTAGTACAAACTGCTCTTTAAAAGTCATGAACTCTTTTCATAAGCCTATACAAACTCAATAAACAAATCAAGATATGTGTTTAGACCAAGAGAAAAGCAGAAAATAAGCTTATTGAAACAGGTCCTAAATTCCAATATATTAAGCACTAAAATATGGGGAAAACAGTGCATAAAGCTAAGAATTGCAATTTTTTGTAAACACAAACTAATTTGTGTCTCAATTCCCCTTTCCCTCCTCCATCACCTTCCATCCTGCAAATACCACCATAAACACAGATATCTACAGAGGAACCCCAACCATCCCTAACAATCAATAATTCATAGAGTACAAGTTTATTATTGATAAAAACATCAATACAATTGTCTCGTTTATTGCAATGTTGCAGAACGCGATAGGCGCTAGTCCGGCACCGCAGAGGGGGGGAAGGGGGTGGGGGGCGTTGTGCCTAGGCGGCCACCTAATTATATATATATATATATGTATGTATATATATATCGCTCAAAACGACCAAAAAAAAAAAAAAAAAAAAAAGGTTTCTGTCGACTAGCAATTGCCTATACCTCCTTTCGCCTCGGCCTAGGGGCGCTTAGCGCCTAAGCGGCCGTGTAGGCCGATTTTTACAACACCAGTTCATTGTAATATGCAGTACATGCAACACTAAGTAGCGGTGAGCATTGGAATAACCAAACAAAATTTCTAATCTCTGTAACCAATCAATGAATGAATATACCAAAACCGACGTCATATTTAAACCGAGAAGTAGCTAACGAAAAAATTCCCAGACATGGATTCTACCTTGTTAAGTACTTAAGTCCCGGTTAGAATGTTTATTATTACAGATTTACATGGGTAATGGTATAGAAACTTTAAATTAATCAAAAAGATAGCAATGAAAAAAAAAATTACAGCATTCAGTCTAGCATCTGGTGTCAATTCTACCATCTAAGAAAATGAGCAAATCCAATGGTCATTATCAATTATTTACGATATAATTACCTTGAAGCGAACTCTAACATCTACGAAATTGAGCCGAGGGCACGGCTATAACTGGCGTCAATTCTTAGTTCTTACAGCACCACCATAAGACTATAAGAGAGAGAGCACCGTTGAATGAGAGATTGAGTTGTGTGTGTGTGTATATATATATATATAGAGAGAGAGAGAGAGCTTTCAAAAGCAATGACAGGAGAAGAGAGTTCTCCTCACAAGAATGAAATACAGAGGAATCCTCACAAGAATCACAACATTCAATCTAGCATCTGGTGTCAATTCTACCATCTAAGAAAATGAGCAAATCCAACGGTCACTATCAATTATTTACAACATAATTATCTTGAAGTAGGGCTGCAAACAAGCCGAGCTCGATAAATATATGGTGGCTCAAGCTCGAGCTCAATCGTGCCTTAAAATTGAAGCCCGAGTTCGGCTCGTGAATTTTGTATAGCTCGAGATCAGCTCGATTGGCTCAAGTGTACTCGGCTCGATTGGCTCGAGTGTACGAGCTCGAGCTTGAGCTCAGGTGCTCAACTCAATTGGCTCAAATTGAGGTCAATTTTTTGAGCTCGAGTCAGATTGCTCGAACTTTCAAGCTTGAGCTCGACTTATTTAACTCCACTCCATGTTACAATTAATAATATAAATTGATGCATCCACACATTACATTAATAATAAAAACTTGATACGGAGTAAAATTTAGAGTCCAAAATAAAATATATAACAATCCCTACATTCTCATTCTCAAGATTCAAGGCTATTCCTTTCACACCGCTGGCAAATTCCACCATTTCCCCAGCTTGAATCTCGTTCAATCCATAAACTTATGAAAAACAACAGTGAAAACAAGACTATTGCACTCAGAATGAAAAGGGATATTGATTTTTTCTGCAAAAAGAGATCAAATCAACACTTATATACACAAACCTTAAATCTCAATTCAAGCTACGACTATATGTTAGGGTATTAACACTAAAAAGTATGTACGCACAAACACTTTTCTATATATTGCTTTTATATACATGACTATATGTTAGGGTATTAACACTAACAAGTACGTACACACAAACACATCAGTCATGGCATTCCAGTTCCAATTTAAGCATTTAACAGTATAATCATATCATAGTTTGCAGATGGAGATTTGTATTCAGAGAATATAAACAAGGAAAGAGCTAGCAACAGAAAGAAGACTTATCGACTGAAAACAAAATGAACACAGTAGATCAAATCCAAACACATACGGGAAATTCCAGTGTTCACTGACACGGCCTCAATCAAGAACACAACACCTACCCAGATTCGTAGATTCGCAGGGGAGGGCGGTGGGCTTGGCGTCGTCGTCGGATACTCGGCGTCGCACCTTGGCTTCGTCGTCGGACAGATTCGTCCTCCGGGGGTGGTTTAGGAATAAATTATTAATTATATATATGTGGTAGGGTTCATACAACACATCCCTAAAAAATTAAAATATTTTTTTAACAAAATAAGTCATTTCTATAAAATTATAAATCATTTTCCAAAAACGTTTTACAGGTTTTCAAACAGAGTATTTGGTAACTTGGTAAGAGTTCATCCTGAACGAGACTTTGCATGCGTCTTGGTCACACGATGATAGAAATTAGCTTCACCCCCGGGGTCCCCCAACCCTCTTGATCTTAAAAAACAAAAAACAAAAACAAAAAAACAAAAAAAAAAACCAGAGTATTTGGTAAGCATTAGGTGATTAGTGAATTGAGTTAGATATAAGAGTTCACTAAATCATCGTTTAATTAACGACTTATACATCATCTAAATTATATTGAGATAAAAATAAGAAAAAAAAAAAAAAAACATGTTCTCTATTCACCGTAAGATAAAAGTGAGAGAAAAATATGTTCTCTATTCACCGTGATTTTGCATCAGGGACTTCTAGTTGCTGAACAAACTAGGATTTATACATCACTAATAAGAAGATTGACTTGAGGTTAGTAAAGGATTAATTGTTATTATGTAATTGTGTAGATACGTGTATTTATATGTGCACATTAAATTGAATAATTGATTTGATTTGTAAGTATATGGCTAGAGAAAACAAGTTTAGAAGGAAGATTGCCAAAAATTAAAATCGAAGGATAAGGGAGGATAGATAGGTTTTGCACTTGGAGGAAAATAATTTTTAAAGTTGCGAGGAGGAGGAGGAGGAGGATAACCAATACGTATGGATTATGTCCAAACTCCACATATTTAACAAAAGAAGGGGGTAAAAAGTGAGTACTTTTTTAAACTTAAGAGACCACATCGCATGAGGCTAAAAATAATTGTAAGGCGTTGATTATTAGCATCATGAAATAAGAGAAATCAAACATACATTAGCTACAAAGGAGTTAATTAGAAATCAGATAATGAACCTTTAAGGGTGATTTTTTATTTTTTATTTTTTATTTAATCAAAATGAGGCCCCAATGCTAGTAGTTAGCACTCTCAATCTCTCATGCAACATGGTTTATTGGAGGAATTCCCATTCTGTCTTCCTCAATCACTTTCACGATCTCAGACAGAGGCGTGCCTATCTCTAGCCATGAAACATATTGTATGGTTGCATTCTTAGCTAGTGCATTTGTCACCATATTTTGCTCACGAAAGATCCTCCAGATTCCAGAACATCATCTTCCATTTTCTGTTTACCAAAAGTTTACATTTGTAAACGATGTTCCCCATTGGCCCCCGGGATATCTCAAACCCTTTAATCCAACCCAAAAACATTATTAGAATCACTTTGGATCTCTATCTCTCTCACTCCTTTTCCACAAGCCCATTTAACGCCCTTCGATCATAATCGCCCAACCTTCAATATCAATGGCTTCAGTAAGCCCAACATTGAAGATGAAACACATAATAATAAGAAGAAGAAGAGTGGGGGAACGGGAAAAGAAGATCCAACTAATTTGAGTGGGATTTATCCTGTTGAACCTCCATAGTTTAATTTTTACATGAAATAGTATAAAATTTTAGTGCTAAAATGTTGCATGCATGGTATATATATGGGAAGATGCTCCCATGTGAAAGATGGAGTTACATTTGGTCATTGATCAAATATAGATTAACGGTTCAAATCAATATATTTTTTTAAAAGTCATTGTTCAAGATATGCTATTGGTCACTCATAAGCAATTCCACTTCCTTTGATCTAAAGAAAGGTGTCCTCAATTAAAGAAACAAATTGTAAAAAAATGACACACCTTAAAGAAGGAAAACAATGCACCTTAATAAGGAAAACAAAGCACCTTAAGAAGAAAAATCACGCTCCTACAGCTTTAGATCGACGCACCTTAAGAAGGAAAACAACGCACCTTAAAAAAGAAATCACGGATACAGCTTTAGATCGACGCACCTTAAGAAGGAAAACAACGCACCTTAAAAAAGAAACCACACACCTAAAGCTTTAGGCCGACGCACCTTAAGTTTCAACAATTGATACACCTTAAGCACACAAAATACGCACCTAAAACTTTAGATCGACGCACTTAAGTTTCAACAACTGACGCACCTTAAGCACACAACACAAAAACCACGCAAGCACACAGCACAAAAATCACACACCTTAAATTTGACCTAGATGTAAAATGATGAAATTATCATCGCATTTTTTTCATTATTATTAATCCTGGATGTTGTTGGCAAGATGAATGACTCTAATCTCTCCCTACGTTCGCACCTGAGCACACCATCCCTATTTGAACCGTATCATATATATTAGTTATTATTTTTCCGTATTATATAATATCTGAATTGGCTTCAAATTCGTGGTCTGCAACTAAGTGCATGCAGCCAAGCCATTTGCACTTTTGCAGTCTGTATGTTTATTACGCCCCAGGTGGCCCGCCGCCCAATGGCGGCAAATTATGCCCTGGAAACGTGTTCACCGTAAATGATGAACACAAGTCTAAACGATGTCGTTTTTATACAAAATAAAAAATAAAAAAAATGCGGATGTGGAGTTAATGGCGCACGTTTGATCAAATTATGAATTTTCTGTTATGAGATTATGAATGTAATGTAAATTCATAATCTCATAACAGAAAATTCATAATCGCATAAAAGTAAAATATTTATTAAATTATGAATTTTTTGTTATGAGATTATGAATTTTCTGTTATGAGATTATGAATGTAATGTAGATTCATAATCTCATAACAGAAAATTCATAATTTCATAACAGAAAATTCATAATCTCATAACAGAAAATTCATAATCTCATAACTGAAAATTCATAATCTTATAACAGAAAATTCATAATCTCATGGTTCCAAAGTGAATGTGTAGGCATGGTTCCAAAGTCAATGTGCAGGCATGGATTCATAATTTATGAATATCCGTGATTTCGGACGGAAATGTGTAGGCATGGTTCCAAAGTGAATGTGCAGGCATGGATTCATAATTTATGAATGTCCGTGATTTCGGACGGGAATGTGTAGGCGTGGTTCCAAAGTGAATGTGCAGACATGAATTCATAATTTATGAATATCCGAAATCATTGCTCACTTCAAATTAAAGTAAAACCGCGAAATGTGAAAATGAAAAAGAAAAGTCACACAATTAATTAAAAAAAAAATAACGGTGTACTAACACCGTTGGAACCGTGTTTACCATGAATGATGAACACGGTTCCATGGCATAACGATTGCCCACTGGCCAGTAATACACAAATAAATGGACATTATCAATCTTTAATCAAGTAATCATGAAAAAGTTACAAGCCTACAACATCATTTGCTTAAATAATTCACATATAGACCTAATGTCGCCATTTGACAGCTAGCTACTTTCTGAGGAAACTAGCTTATTTGAAACTAGCTTATTTCAACCTTTCAACTCTGCTAAGTTTTACCCCTTGGTTCAAAAAATATTTTGAAGTGATATAACATTTTCAAAATTCTCACATACTTTTAAATTATAAATAAATGTAATTTTCATGAAAGTTATTAAAAATAATATTTGAAAATCTCACATTCTCAAATTATATCATACAATTAAGATGACGTCGTATGAGAATATCACATAACAAGTGTTTGGTTCAAATTATATAAGATTTCAAGAGAATCTCTCAATCTCTTATACTAATTACTGCATAAGTATGTTCTATTGCGTTGAAGGAATGTGATTTATTAAGCTTTTTGAGTTATTTCTAGAGATGCATGTCAACGGAGCGGGGTACCCCCACTCCCAACCCCTAACTTTCTCCCATACTCCCCCGTTTCGGTCGGGAAATGAAAAAATCTTCCCAATCTCATCTTCATGGGAAATTTCTAACTCTATTTATAACTTTAAAAAGAATATTAAAATTTTAAAAATATTTATATAAATAACTCATATATATTATTTTCAACTTAAAATATTACGAAATATTAAAATATTTTATAATTAAATATGTTATCCAAATATTGATTTTAAAAATATTGCATACCATTAAAAGAAGAATAATAATTATGAAAGGTGATGCCCTTAAGTTGTCCTGTCACATGGCTACAAAATTGCATAGCTCAACCGAATTATAAGAAAAGGAAATTATGAACAAAATGAGAAAGTTTTGGGGGCATGCGTGATTGTGAAGTTGAGAAATCCATCCTACCTTTATTTGAACTTAGACATTGACGTCATTCTTGATTCTATCTCTCCATTTCAAATCCTTCTTTTGTCGCAATCATTCTTCAAAATTAAGTATCCAATACAGGCCATGGACCTTCATCATCTTTCATCTCATACTTTCTTCTAATACCAAAATAATAAGTCATTTGTCAAATACTTCTTAAATCTTAAATCTTAAATGTTATTTATTCATCAATTACCTTTGAAGTGACATTTATTATACAAACACGTAATCTCTCATGCTTAGGTGAATGATGAGTGTGTATTTTATTGTTTTTTTTTTTTTTAATTTTTTGAATTAAAAAGCAGTCACCACCGTCTTTGAATAAGTAATAGTTTTTTTTTTTAAATTCAAAATAAAATATAAAACAATAAATTGTACACTCAACATCAGCCTAATATCAAAACATCATGTGTGATTCTGATCAACACCTCATCAACAATAACGTGCTAATTAAGTAACATTAAAATTTAATTACATTAGTTTACAAGTTTAACAACATTATTGGATTTTTTTTTCCAGTTAAATAATTCAATTTAGTTTTGCCTAATTATATATGAATTGTTTATTTTTTTTATTAGGAATTATTTTTGATTTCTTTGTTCAAAAAAAAGGAGAAAAAGTTTCAATTTATAAAAGGCAGCAAAATTAGGAAAAGCACTATAGTTGGTTGGGATGGGACATCCGTTATAATTATGGAGTTGGAAGGAAATTTAAAAGAGATGATAATCAAATAAGTTATTCAACTTTTATGAAAAGTGTAATTAAGTTATTTAACTCTAAAAAGCTTTTTTTTTAAAAAAAAAAAACTCTAAAAAATTTCAAAAAATTCATTAAATTTAAAAGAATGATACAATTAAACTATTTTATATCATATAGTAGGTTAACAACACATTATAGGTTTATAAATGCCTTAGGGGGATCACGATTCCGGTTTCTGATTTCAGAAAATGACGAATCACAATTCTAGTTTGAATTGCTGGTTCAAACCTATTTAAAAAAAAATGTTGGTAAGTTCTATTTCCTATTCTTAAAATACTCCATATTTAACCATTAATTTTTTAAAGAATTTTTTCATTATGGAATTTTAAAAAATAGTTATATCATATATTTAAACTTTAACCAGGACTATGTGGTCTAATGGTATCCGGGTTGGACTTCCATTTGGAAGATTATGAGTTCAAGCCTCAGTGGAGGCGTTATTGGTTCTTTGTGTTTCAGTAGGTTGAGAAAGTATATGAACAGATACTATAATGTAATAGAGCCAGTAACTTTCAAAAAAATATATATATATATATATATATATTTAAACTAAAAAAAAAAAATTGGGCTTGCATTTATTTTACCAAGATTAAGTTGCCTACGTATTATTAAGTTCAAGCCCTTTTTTTTTAATTTAACTTTAAAATTAAATATTTGATATAACCCATTTAAAAAGAAAATTTCATAATGACAAAATTTCAAAAAAAAAAAAAAAAAAAAAAAAGAAGAAGAAGAAGAAGAAGAAAAGTTGTTGAATTTGGAATATTTAAAAATAGAAAATAGATTTTTTTAAAAAAAATCCCGATTCAAATTGACGGTTCAAAATGGAACTGTCGGTTCGCTGTTTTATGAAATTCGAAAGTGTCGGTTCGAAACTGGAATCACGGTCACCCCTAAATCAACTATATCTTATTATTCACCTGCTATGAGAGGTAAAAAGGGTCTAATTGCATCATTTTTTTCAATTTCAATGGCTTATTTGGAATCTTTTAGAGTTTGATGGTTTAATTGTACTTTTTTTTATATATAAAATGAATGACTTATTTAATTCTTATCCCACTTTAAAATAATAGGATTCCTTATAAAAACCTGAGGGGTCAAAATATAATTATTTCAGAAAAGAAGGAGCAAAACGAAAACATGATTGAGCTAAGAAGGAAGTGGTAATTTCGAATTTGGAAGCCAGGGCCAGGAGAAGTGTGTCTGTGCAGTGAGGTGTGAAATTTGTCTTTTTGGGAGTATTTATTGATGTGTTGTATTCACTATTCCGTATCTCTCAAGAATTGGAAAATCAAAAAGTTGATTGGTTGGTGGTTTGAGGTTTCAACTGTGGTCTCGTGAAGTCATTTTCAATTGTGCTACTTTGGCTCCGAGACGTGGTAGCATAGAATCAAGATTCTTCCTTTTTCGTCCCCCCACCGTTTTTTCTTCTTCTTCGGTGTTTCATCTTCAATGTTGGGCTTAATGAAGCCATTAGTTCCCTGTTTTTGTTTAATGGCTGTAATTTAAGGGGTTTAAGGAGCGGTTAAACTTGTACAGCTGTGAGCTGGGTTCTTGTCTCAGGCGTTGTACTGTGTGGATTGGTAAAAATGGGGTTGATTCCGGGGACTAGGCCGCCTCTGTATAAGTCCGGGAAGGCTCAGGGTGTATCTTCAAGATGGGTCTTCTTGCTTTGCATTGCCAGCTTTTGCTTGGGTGTTCTTGTTGTTAACAGGTCTTCCTCAGCTTTCTGTTACTGCTTTCATTCTTGAGTAAATTGAGTATTTTGTTTTCTTGAAATAGATGCTTGATCGATCTTCTCCGTTTTGAGCTTGATAGCACCAAATTGATGGTATGGTACCAGATTTGATCGTTGTAATGGGATGGGGTCCCCCCTTACTACGCTGGGTTGCAGCATAATTTCATTTTCTTTGGGGTGGGTATTGTTAGGGAACCCAGATTCAAAACGACTGTAATTTTTGCACTGATTTAGGGAGGGATTCAAAGCTTCAGTTTTTGAACTCTTATGTTTGATATTTCTTTGTGTGTGGATTTCGCTTCATCCCTTTCTAACTGGGAGATTGGAGGAACATTTCGTGCCTTTTCATTTTCCACAAGAACAAGCACTGGTTTTGATTGAAATTCTAGCAATTCACATCGATTTTGATCCATGATCATTAGATTGTAGAAACAAAGTTACCTGTATGTATTCTTTGCCACATCTCATTTTGGTTAATCAATGAAAGTTTGTATCTTTCAAATAATACTCAAACCTGGAAAGCTGTTTTATAGGATTTTTATTGGTTTTGTACAATTTATTAAACTTCCCCAGGAATCTACTTAACACCAGCAATGGTGTTTGGCATAAGCGGTTCCATTCACTGCATGAATAATGTTCAGGATTTCTACTGCCTAGTTTGCATTGATTTGGCCATGTGCTTTGACTGGTCTAGTTTCAACTGCTTGTATAGTGTGGTCCGTGTGGACATTCTTAAATATGTTTCTTCAAATTTAAATGCTTTGACAGTTTGTTTTAAGTTGTTTTCTAGGTTGTGGTCAGTTCATGGACCCATCAAAACAGCACATGGTTTTTCTCCAAAACAACTCAACTCAGGAGATTCGCTCCCTGTTCCTAAGTGCCAACAAAAGGCAAGTTCAGGTGATGAATAATGTTCTACGCCTTTTAAACTTTACTATAGTAACTTAGATGGCATTCATATTTATTGCAGGAAGCTTCTTTTCAGGAAAGGGATATCCTATCTCGAGTTTCCAAAACACATGACGTGATCATGTAATTCCATTTCCCACCTTTGTTATGAATTCAATTTCTTCTACGATGTTAATCACAAGTATCAAGAGACTTAGTTTTGGATGCGCTCTTTAGAATCTATTTAACACTGCATCAATGGGTCAAATGTTTCAGGGAATTGGATAAAACAATATCTTCACTGGAAATGCAGCTTGCTTCAGCCAGAGCTACTCAAGCAGACAATGAGGAAAGATACGAGGAAGGTGGAAAACTAGGGAATGAACCTATGAATAATCGCCGAAAAATCTTTTTTGTCATGGGAATCATTACAGCTTTCAGCAGCAGAAAGCGCAGAGATTCAATTAGAGAAACTTGGATGCCTAAAGGTTCATTATCTGATTTCTAATTAGCTCCTTTGTAGACAATGTATATTTGGTTGTTCAATTTCTTCTGATTTGTATCAGGGGAAAATTTGAAGAAGTTGGAGAAAGAAAAAGGTATTATAATGCGTTTTGTGATAGGGCACAGGTAAGTTTTGCAACTATGAAACTGATTTTGGTACAGGGCCATCCTTTGTTGCTTAATTAATGAGATATATTTTTCACTGTTCAGTGCCACTCCAGGTGGAGTCTTGGACCGTGCTATTGACGCTGAAGAAACACAACATAAAGATTTCTTAAGACTGGTATTCACTTCTTTTTGGCACACATACATGATGTTAATGTGCACTACTCTTTTAAGAATTTTTTAATACTTCAGGTGCGTTTTTTGTTGAGGTTTAGCACTTTAGCTACATTTGGCACTATGACATCATCATGCATGTGATCGGGATCATAAAGTAGAGTAGCTAAAATTTAAAAAATCCCGAACAATTTTTGTAAGAGTATCATTTGTGGTTTCCAGGTACCCTTGAGGCGCGACTTGAACCCACAATTTGTCTGTTATTTGTGGGAACTAACTAACAATGCTACATCTTATTTGTCTTTCTTGAACTTTTGGGACTCAGTTAGGGGATCTCGGGTTGTTGTATTTGCTATGGCACTATATGACAATTGACTTGCATATGCAGAACCATATAGAGGGATATCATGAATTGTCGACAAAAACCCAAATCTACTTTTCAACTGCTGCAGCAAAGTGGGATGCCGACTTCTATGTCAAAGTCGATGACGATGTGCATGTCAATCTTGGTGAGGATTCCGTCTCATTCAGTCATTCTGACACAAATTCACAGCTTACAGGCTTTTCGTGATTGGAGGAATCATGTGATAGATTCTTTATTAAATAACCTCTCTCGACAGGTATAGTAGGTTCAATCTTAGCCCGTCATCGGTCTAAACCTCGTGTTTATGTCGGCTGCATGAAGTCTGGGCCCGTTCTCGCACAGAAGTAAGCATGCATGCAGGTGTATGATCAGCTGCTTAAGTAGTGTTTAAATTTCATTTACTATATATGTGATTTGCAGAGGTGTGAAGTATCATGAACCAGAATACTGGAAATTTGGGGAGGAGGGTAATAAGTACTTTAGGCATGCAACTGGACAAATATATGCAATCTCCAAGGATTTGGCTACCTATATATCGATTAACAGGTATTGCTTTTTCTTCAAATTCTTTTACAGCACGTTTGGGTCACTGAATGAATTTTGAGGTAATAGGAATGCTATTCCATAAGGAATGGAATATGCAAAGAATAGAATATGAATTGTATTCTATTGTTTGGTTCACGGAAGGAATAGACTTTAGAAATTATATTAACAGTGTTTGGTTGGTTTAAGGAATAGAAAGGATATATGTTTTAAAAGACATAAATACCCTTATAAAATTATGTGGTGGTGTTGGTGGTGGCGATGGTAGCGGCGGTGGCGGTGGCAACGGTAGCAGTGGCGACGAGTGGCGATGGCAGTGGTGTTGGTGGTGCTAGTGGCGGTGGTGATATATATATATATATATATATATACAAAAAGGGTATTTTCGATATTAGAGTACAAAAACTATTCCCTTGGGAATAGCTAATACCAGGAGGGTCCCCTAGGAATGGCTATTCCCCCTGCAAGGGAATAGCTCATTCCCGGGAATGGTATTCCCAACCATGAAAAGACATACCAAACAATGTAAGAGGTCTATTCCCGGGAATGATATTCCATTTCCGACCTATTCAATGAACCAAACACGCTGTTAGAGTTTTTGTGAGCTGTATAGTACTGTGATATCAAAACATTTAGGCCCTGTTTGGTAACATAGTTAGCTTATTAGCCAATTTTGGCTTATTTGACCACTATTAGCTGTTTGACTTGGTTAAACAATCAATATAAGGTCCTGTTTGGTAAAAAGTTGGCCTATAGGCCAATTTTGGCTTATTTGACCACTATTAATTGTTTGATTTAGTTAAAATATCAATATAAATGTTTGGTTAATTAGCTTTTTGCAACTCCAAAAGGCTAAAATTGAAAAAGCTACCCCAAGCAACTTTTTCAATTAGCTTTTTGAGAAAATAAATTATACCAAACAGCTAACAGCTAACAGCTAATTTACCAAACACTTTTCTACAATCAGCTAATGTTATCAACTATTTATACCCTCTAATTAACACAATCAGCTAACAACTAACAGCTATCAGCTAACAGCCATTTTACCAAACAGGGCCTAAGTGTTTGATTAATTAGCTTTTTATAACAACTTATTGCTCCAAAATGCTAAAATTCAAAAAGCTGCTCAAAACAGCTTTTTCGATCAGCTTTTTGAGAAAGTCATTTTGCATGTAATCAGCTATCTGCTAACAGCTAATTTACCAAACATCTTTCTGCAATCAGCTAATGCCATCAACTAGTCAAAGCCACTAACCCAATTAGCTAACAGCTATTTACCAAACACCCCCTAATTAGTTAAATTATATATTTTCTTAGGAACATACTTCATCGATATGCAAATGAAGACGTTTCTCTTGGATCTTGGTTTATTGGGCTTGATGTAGAGCATATAGATGACCGAAGCTTGTGCTGTGGGACACCGCCTGGTAAGATGCTTGACATTTAAGTTTTGCAAATGGCTTACTATCTACTTTCCAGGAGTACTTTTATTGGCTATTAAGGGAGCATTACTATCGGTTGCACCTCTATTAATTTTCTTGAAAAGCAAGGTTTATTTCATCTCTAGTTCAAATATTCAATGGCCCATTTATTTCTACGGTTTGAATTTATTGACATTAGATGAACAAACATCACTGTTGAGCCTATTCATCAGCCTCCAACAAAGTCATAGTTGGCACACTTAGCTTTTTCAATTATGCATTTACTTCTACGGGTTTGATCAGTCAAGATCTAACAGTCAAATGCTCTTCACCTACACCCAGCTGACCCGCTGGTATTATAAATACTAGTAGCTGTGTGTATATATACATGTTTATTTATGGAATATATTTTTTCTATTGTGGAAAGAATTAGAAATTACTAAAGCGATCCCACTGGAAAAATGAAAGTTTATATAAAGTGGAGCCATAATGTCAGATTGTATAGAAAAGAAGCACCTTTGATTGATAAGTACTTTTTCTTTCCTTTTGATTCAAGATTGTGAGTGGAAGTCCCAGGCGGGGAACCTTTGTGCTGCGTCATTTGATTGGAGCTGTAGCGGGGTATGTAAATCGGTAGAAAGAATGGAAGAGGTGCACCAGAGATGCGGAGAGGGCGATGGAGCAATCTGGCATACCAGCTTTTAGAACTTGTGTACTTAACGAATCTCTTCTTATTTATTCATTAGATTGTCTTTGCGGTTTTTGTTCTTGCCCTCCCTCGGGAAGGGATCTTGACGGTGGAATGTATATGTCCGTGTGCAGTAATCAGAAATGCGACCTGTGTACATCGTTCCACGCCATTTTTGCTCATGAAAGACTCACAGATTGCAGTAAACCGCTAACCTGTTGCACATATACAAACCTGTGAAGAGATATATACTAGTTAGTTAGTTAGGAATTCAAATATCCATTTTTTTTGAGTATTTTGGTGGAATTCTTTGGACCAGTTATGCAGTGGTTAAAGTATTAAAGATATGTAAAGCAGGTTAAGGTAAAGGTAGGACTATTGATTGCAATTATTTGACATAAAAAGCATAGGGACTATGCCAATGGAAATATGCATGTTTTTCATGGAAGAAATTGTGGACCTACCATTATCATTTATCTTCACAGACCAACCAAAAATGTAAAGCATCTTTTAGTACCTTCTTTCCTTGTGAAAGTGGATGCAGCACCATAAACATACATTTCGTCCACTTACCTTAGAGTTCAATAATTCTAAAAGGATTGTATAACTTTTAAATTGCGACGGAAAACATCCTTTAAACGGTTCATATAGTTTGCACAAGTGGAGATGGGCGTGTTGAGCATATAAAATATAGGCTCTTAGTTGAGACGACGTGTTGGACAGAGACCGGTGAAGAGTCAAATTCAGCAATTGGTGGCCTGAGATGTCTCTAGAAAATATGACAGTATATAAAGAAATAAAGTTGTATATTTGCTCTGAACTATAATAGTAAATATTTGATGTAACAAGTGGTATTAGAGCGGTGGCAGATAGAGTTCCATAATTATACATATGGACACTCCGGAGGTTGTTGGGCTACTGGACGGAGGTTTTGGTGGGATGGATTGACAGTTGACAGCGATCAAGAATATGATGATCTCACGTTAAAGCCAGTGGACGGTGGTGAATGCGTGCCGAAGAATTGGTGGTTAAAATTGAGAATGCGTCAAAACCTTAAAACAGTCATTCATGTCCGGTCATCCTCGTTGCTTATGTTGTCAGTGTCGCGCCGACCCGGAGAGGCGGACAACGGCGCTGCTATTATTGCCCTTATTTTAAGAATCAAAATCGTGTTTCTGATCTTCAAGAAGTGGGCTTTCAACTAAGCACATGATTGTTGTGACTTTTGAGAACAATGAGAGCTTTTCAATGGCTGAGATTAGTTCGATAAGTCAATGGCAGTGCGATTTAATTAGCCAAATGGGGTTTTTATATTTATAGTCGCAAATTTTGAATGTGGGAGTGAGATTATGAGACATCTCATGATTATAGAAAGTGTAAGGAGAGTGATTGTGGGCTACCCACTTTGGTAGCTTATTTTTCATTTTTTTTAAAGAATCAGCTAACAGTTAATTTATCAAATATATTTTTACAATCAGCTAATATTATTAACTAGTCAAACCCACTAACTCAACCAGTTAATAGCTATCAGCTATGGGCTCTGTTTGACAAATCTAGCTGAAAAGTTAAGCTCTGTTTGGCAGAGCTTATTTAGGAGCTTATAGTTTATTTTAAGCTACTAATAAGCTATAAACTCTGTTTGATAATGTTCCCAAAATAAGCTCCTAGATTAAAATAAGAGCTTATTTTGGAACGTTACTTTAGGTAGCTTTTCAAAATAAGCTCCTAGCTTCCTAAATATTTTCCCATCTTTATCCTTATTATTTTAAAAAAAATGACATAATTTATCCTTCCCAATTAAAATCTTTTCTCTTCTCCTTTACTCGTAACTTTCACCGCAAATATTATTATTATTATTATTATTATTATTATTATTATTATTATTATTATTATTATATTTGCAACAATATAATATTGCTACTTTATTATGAGATGCTAGATCATGATTATGCTAATAGTTTTATTTCAAAATGTTATTTTTTTTAAAGACAAAATGTTAAATTTTAATATGTAAACAAACTAATTTAAATTTTATGAAGATGTCCTTTTTAGTCTTTTTACATTTATCAGCTTATCAAAAAGCTAATTTTACCAAACACTTTCAATCATAACAGCTAACTTAACCGCTCTTTAGTTTTCAGCTCCGAGCTTATAGCTTTTCAACTTTCAGCTCCTTTTCAGCTTTCAGCTCCTAGCATATAGTTTTTCAGCTAGGTTTGTCAACAGAGCCATAGGCTGTTAGAGTGTATTATGTACTTTTATTTTATTGCATATAAATAATTTAGACTAAAATCCACAAAGCACATAGTATCCACTATAGTTCATAATATAATTTATAATTATATTAGCACCCACCGACTCTCCGAGCACCAATGTACAACAAAATAAATTTACTGTATGTATTCACATTATTCTTAATTAAGTATTTTGATGACACTGATTTGAATTGACCTTCGCAATTCATATCTTGAAGTGAACACTCCTATTTAAAAACCAACTAAGTTGACATTTATAATATATGTTCTTCTCTTCAGTCTTCCCTAACAAGAATGAAGAAAAACTTGAACACGCTTTGAATTCATAGGATAACTAATAAATTTATATTTAATTCATCCACATATGAATAATGATCTTGACTAGTTTGCTGAATCTAATGCAGTTTTAAGGTGTATATTATATTTATTTTCTTGTATATATACTTACAATAATTAAAAAAAAAAAAATCTTCTTTCTCCTTTTCTATTTTAATTTATTCCTATCCAACCCGGCCGGCGCCCAACAGTATCCCGAAGCAGCTTGGTTGTGGCCTCCATGTTGGAATTGGCATATTATACATTAATGAAAAAAATACCCTTACAAATTATATACTCTGACATGTTTTAGCCGGAGGGATAACCAATGTAATCAATTTTGGCATGAAAATAATAGTCCTTGAATGGTTCTAAAGCAGAACATTTTATATACTACGGAGTATATACTTATCGTGTGTCCTTATTTTAACATTGGATAATAATAACTTTTCTTTTTTATAATGCTGACTATTTATTTATTATTATTTTTTACATTAGGTATTTATTTAATCACATATTATTATACAGGAAGACTTCTTTGAAAGGAAAACTCAAAAGCTAGAAAATAAAGTATAAAACGTGAAAAATGTGAACGCGGCTCAGCTATCACTGCTCAAAGCTCCGAACTCTTGCGCATCAGTATCACTACACAAATGGTCCTGATAAAATATATAAAACCTATACTATTTATCATGAATAAATTTATATTGTCTATAACATATATCATGTCATATTTTAAAAAGTAAAGTTAAATGTTTAGGTAGTGGTACTTTTATCTTACTTTTTATTGATAAAATAAAAGATATAGTTAGAGCATCCCCACCAATAGATTTTGGTGGGATTTTTAAGAAAATAAGATGATCTTATAAAAATAAAAATAAAAAAATAAGATGATTGGAATAGAGAGGGTGAGGTGAGAGAAAAAAAAAATCCTCCTACAAGTAGTTTTTGCATAAAAGTGGGTTATGTCGACACTGTTGGAAATTATGGAATTTTCGATCACCTGAAAGTGATCTTAAATCAAGTCGAAAGCAAAAAGTGGTCAGAAATAGTAACAAATATTTTTCCGAATACCAAAAGTGGTCGGAACAAGACTTTCGACTTGATTTAAGATCACTTTCAGGTGATCGGAAATTCCATAATTTCCAGCAGTGCGACTGCGTGGAGGAAGAAGGGTGTGCTGAAATGCGCGTCTAACAGATGCGTGCACTGCACAGGCCCCTGGGCGCGTTATACTCTCTCTTTTTTCGTGGGGGAGGGGGGGGGGTGGGGGTAGACTTAGCTTGTCTTTTTTTTTTTTTTTTTTTTTTTTTTTTTTTTTTTTTTTTCATTTTTCTTTCATAATCATACCTGAAAAATCCATCAAAAACATAAAAATTTTGTTATAAATGATATATGATTTTAGATAAATGTCAAAATTCTTTGTTTAGGATTTTCTTACAAAGATGCATGAAGAGAAGACCAGAAATGAAAAGAAAAAAGCGACACCCTCTAATCGTATACATCAACTTTAATTTCAGTTGATTCATAATAAAATCATATTTGATGAAATATTGAGTCATGACCTATCCTAGTTCGAATAAGAAATACCTCGGAACCTGGTAAACTTTAAACGGATTCGCTAGACTCTCCTTAGACTCCCCCATTCCATTTCATCGATCTATATTAATATTATAGGAATTTTAGAATAGGATAATCATATGGTTAGAAATCCTTTATTTTGAAAACCGAATCGCTCTTTTGATTTCGGAAAAACTTTCTTTATCAACATACTTTTTCTTTTACACACTAATCTCCATTCCAGAATAAGTAGGATTCATTACAAAAAAATAAAGAATCCACTCGTGAGGCGAGAACCCCCTTCCCGCCGCGGGCACTAATCTATTTTGATTTTTAACGTCTAATTAGCTAGGGAATCATTCAAATTAAGAACCAAAGCTCGTTGCTTTTTCTTTCCCCAGAATTGAATTGAAGCCCTAGCCTTATCCATTTATTCATTCGACCTAACTAGGATTTTCATTTTGTTCGGTTCTAAGAATTCGAACACGGCCTTATACCGATCTAGTAAGACTGAAATATTCTCAGAACTCTCCGTTGATCTAGTCTAGCCATATAGACGGATCCGGCTAAATGTAATAATCAAAACACTATAGTCCAAGTTTGTTAAACATGCATATAAGATAACATTAAATACTAATTACCACTTCAAACCTCAAGTTGTTGATGTTATTGTTCTTAAACTTTATGCATGTGATCAATTGAGTTGTCTATGTGAGCGCGAATTGCTGATATTGCACAAGAGACAAGACGCCAACTTGGTTCCATTAACTCCATGATAATGTATGCTAACTCTTTAGGCTATCCTTATCCTTGTAATACTCTATCACTTAAAAAAAAAAAAATCACTTTCACATCATCAAATTTGTAATTTCTCAAATATTTTCTCTACATTCCAACAATATTCTCTTACTTTCAAAGTGGTCTCACTTTAATATTATATTATAAATTATAAATATAATAATGAAATAATAATAATATAATAACTAATAATTTTTTTGTTTTAAAAAGTACATGACATCCTTTTGCAAGTTTGTAAGTTTTCTAATCAAGAAAGCCCGCAAGTCACATGATTTGTAAAGTTAAACAAAAACAAATTTAAAAGTCACTTCATAATCCACATCATCTTGTAATTA